CTCTGAGTCCTTGTTCAGCAGCTGCTCCTCCGCTGGCTCTGGACCTTTCTGGTTCTCAATGGCAAGAGCAAGAGTGGCCCGTTGTATAGCATGTATTCCCAGGGGTTGTTCAAAGTTTGAATGATTCACACACATCCGTGCGTGGCCAACTGCAGTTGGTGCATGGTGGGCCAATTGTGTCACTGTTTCTCTGTGTCATGATAGATCTCAATTGAGCCGCGGCAGCCAGCCTAAGGACCGGCGCGCAACAGCGCTCGCCGCCGCATGGCTCCCCATGTGCGGGGGGCCCTCCCTCTGGGGGCCTACTAGGCAGGAAGCTAGCCAGCTGGAAGATGGGCGCTCCCCACCCGAGGCTCCCCATGCGCCGGGGGCCCTCTCTCCGGGAGCCTCAATTTATTTCTTTATACTTTATGGTTACACTCCATGTTTTTAACTCAAGCATAGTAGAGGAAAGTTGATTTGTTTTGAAAGTGTTTAGTCTAAGAACTTAAATAATCATCTGTATCAAGACAGCTGATGGGTAAATTTCAACTAAGATTGAAACTTGAACTTTAGATTAAGCTCACTGTAGCCTTAGAGTGGTGTTGGTAGAGCATCAGAGTGAAATCCTGTTTAAGCAGGATTCAAGAGAGAAGAAAAGGAGAGAAATTAGAGACCAGAGGACAAAAAAAAAAAAAAATGTCAGGATGCAAAAACTTTTATATAAATTTGCCATTTTTAAATTTATGGGCTGGGGATGTTGCTCAGTGGGTAGAGTGCTTGCCTAGAAGGAGGAAGCCCCTGGGATCAACCCCACCACCAAGAAAATATTCACTGGGCACATGCTCACTTTTGTAACTTTTCTTCCCTACTTTCATCCTTTTCATCTTTCTCCACAGTGTGCACTGTGACTGCTACATTCTGAATCAGCCTTCCATATGCTTTGATAGGTGGGAGTACCCAAAATTGTTAAGCTCAACTTTTTTCATAATTTCTATTCTTGATTCTTCTTTGATCATTGAATTGCTGAGAAGTACATTCATGTTTAAATTCCCTAATGCATATTGTTTAAAGAGGAGGTGGTATCTTCCTTTCTCTTCATCAATCACTTTGTGTTTTTGTAAGAAGAGTACTTTTAGCTTGTGATCTCTAGGTTCTCGCTTGTTTTTATATCACCTTAAAGTATATATTTCAGGTACACTAGTTATTTTCAATGAGAAAAGCTGGGCCTTGTGGCACATATCTGTAATCCCAGCTACTGTGGAGGCTCAGATAGGAGGATCACAAGTTGAAGCCCATCTTGGGCAATTTAGTGAGTCCTTATCTTAAGATAAGTATTTTCAAAACCTGGGCATATACTTCCCACTCCAGTGCTTGCCTAGCACGTACCAGGCTCTAGACTCACCTGCACTACCACAAACAAACAAAAGACAAGACAATGAGAAAAATGTCTTCCATCATTTGGATGATAAATCAGTTGCTGGTCTTCAATTTAGCTCTTTGAGAAATTCCTCTGCACATGTTCTGGTTGCTTTAAACACTTTTTTCATTAGCCTGTGACTTTCACCAGTCCAGCTGCCATGTTCCTCGTCAACTATAACTCACCTTACATGGATCTCATTTGTCTTTAGTTTATTACAGTTTGCTGAGCATCTTCCATCCATGAATTAATGTATTTCGTTGGTTTCAGAATTTTCTTTATCGTATATTAAAATATTTATTTTGCTTAATTTTGTCTTTGTCCACATATGTGTCCAATATATCATTTATGCCTCCTGCTTTTGTTCTTTCTGCATTTTTTTTTCTCTGTGTGTCAACTGGGAGACTATCTGTGCTAGGTCTTTGTTCATTAATCATCTCATTTCAGCTCCGCTGTTGGAATCTATTAAATGGAACCTGAAGGGAGTTGTGAGATGCATGAAGGATATTCAGACATCAACAGACTCAGATCAAAGCACTAAAAACCTTCTCATCTGCTATCCCACAGGGAGCAAGGAAAGCAAAAGGCAGTAAGAGTGAGAAAGGGAAGATCCAGGTCTGTTTCTGCCCTTTGGGCCAGGATCTTTATTAAGTGATGGTCACAAGAGTTTGAATAGTCCAAAAATGTGGTATTCAACATTCACTGAAATCTCAAAAACAAAGATTTCACTCAAAAAATCTTAAGCACAAAATGAAAGCACATGTTTTATTAAATAAAGTACATAAAGGAATAGAAATATCTTTTAAAAATAATGGATCCAGGTGTACAGATAATAGCAGCAATCTATATCTTTATATCTATTTTTTCCTTTTGTTTCTGTATTGATGTCAGTTACAGATAGGGTCTTTCTAATTAACAACAAAATATACAACACATCTCTAGATTTATATACTGTCAGCCAAGCAGCACCAGTTACAAAGATCCTTGACCGTCAATATTTGCATGATAAGAACAAACATGCAGGCCACCACTTAAATCATGGATTCCTCCCTGTTCCAATTTCAAAAGTCAATAGAGGAGCCGGGCATAGTGGCACATGCCTGTAATCACAGCACTTGGGAGACTGAGGCAGGAGGATCGTTGCAAGTTTGAGACCGGCCTGGGCTACAAAGTGAGCTCAAGGCCAGATTGAACTGCATAGTGAGATCCTGTCTCAAAAAGGCCAAAAAAAAAAGAATGAAACCATTTCAGACATACAAGAATTGCGAGGTTTTTGTGCAATCCCAGAAACCACAGTGGAAAGACTTTGGAGAAGCAGGCCGTAGCAAGTAATACAGCATGGTGTAAGGTGGTGAGAAATGGTTACTAGTGACGAATGACAAAAGTTTCACCAGAACCTTCAGCTTCTGGTTGAAGCCAGAATGTAGAAAGTATAGCATAGAGAACAAATAGGAGTCAATAAAGCAAAAAGAATTAGTGCCAAAAGCATTTTCCATAACTTCACATCAAAAAGAAAGATGACTGAGGTCAAGGGAAATTTTTTATTAGGAGGTAAAAGTGCCAGTGCCAGACAGGTTGTGAAGACAAGAGAGAGAAGTGCCTTCAGCAAAAGCACATTTTTAGAAACTTTCTTGAGAAAAAAGAAAGAAATTAGTAATACATCAATGTAGCTTGATGTCAAAATTTTGTGTGAAGACTTGGGTATATGATACTTTACTTCTAGTCATTTCTTTTATCCCTATGGAAGAGAAATTGATGTAACATTTGTAGTATAAGGAAGTGTAAATGTGATAAAAACTTATAGAAGGAAACCAAGTATGGTAAAAGCTTATTATTATAGCCATGAAACAGGTGAAAGCACAGACATCTAACACTGAGATCCCAGTTAAAGTGAGGAAGCATAGACAAGTACTGCTTCTTAGCTCATGTGTGTAGGCTTTTGTTTCAGAGCTGCTCTGCGCTCTGGAGTACAGTAAACCATGACACAGAAGACAGGATTGTTCCAGGGTTGGGGTTGTAGGCTGTTGATCTTGCAAGATGGTCAATTTGGAAAATAGAAAACTAAGTCAGTGTTGGGCATGGTGGCATATGCCTGTAATGCCAGCACTTGGGAGGCTGAGGCAGGAGGATCATTTCGAGTTCAAGACCAGCCTGAACTGCATAGCAAGATTCTGTCTCAAAAAGACAAAAAAAAAAAAGAAAAAGAAAAAGAAAAGAAAACTAATTCAGTTGCAGAACTGTAGTACTTAGACTTATATATAATTCTTTCAAAGTTATTAAGAATATGTCAAATTAGAAGATTAAGAAGAAAAATTAAAACCAGCATCAGTCCATATATTGAAGATCTTTCTGTGGAACAGTAGAATGGTTATCCTTTCTTTGAGAAATAGAGGGCGGCCAGCATATTTTATTAAATTATAATATATGTAAACCATTTATTTATGGAGCTACCTCCCACTGATATGAATGGGCAAACATGCTTGAAAACTGCTTTCCAGGGAGTGATTTTCAAGTCATTTAGACTTAGATCAGTTTTTTAGAGGCCGATCATAGGAACATGTATGAGGTTCAGATCCCATGTTTGCAAATGAAGAGCTATTCCTGATCTCTTTCATACTTCCATCCACAGGAGTCCTGTCCCTTTATACTAAAGTATTCTAGTCTTCAAGCTCTTGTTTTGCTGCTAAGTAATATTGTGAGTACTGCTGAATTTCTTCACTCTTGTCTTGAAGTATTGATAGAGACATAAAGGACTTATACAAAAGCATAAATAAACTCCTTGTGGTTATAAATTAACTCTAGCTTTATTGTCCTATCTTCTAATGCTTGCATATGGTAAGATAGCAACAAAGAAAAGGATAAAATTAGAAATTCATGCTGGTGGTGGTAGAAGGGGCCAGGGAGGGAGGGATCCCATGGTTCTGCAGAGCATCCATTAAACTGGAGCAAGGCAGAGTCTGTTTTCAAGGTCTTCCTGTGTTTATCCTTTTTTGGGTGGAAAAGAAGAATGCTAAACCTCCTTGTTCTTCTTATTATTCTTGGAAATAATCTAGAAGATTCTTCAGAGGACATTATTCCCTTATTAAAATCTCTTTCCAGTCTCAAATACTGAGGATTTCTTTTTTTTTTTTTTAAAGAGGAAAGTAATAAACAATGAAATTGAGTTTTGATACAGGTTAGTAAGACAGTTGCAATTGTTGATACTTTGCATATTATTGTCTGCATATTAGTTAATCAGAGTACAAGCTAATGGCATGATATCATGTCTAAACAATATTAGCACAAAGCATTCTTTTCAAGGAACTAAGAGGAGCTAGCTATATAACTATCTTATGTATATTTTTTTCTTTTCTCCTTTCTTCCTTTTCCCTTTCACACATTGCAGCTTGTCTTTTCTTTTGTAGCTTTTTCTCAGTTCACAATATCTATTGTACATTTCAGGTTCTATTTTCTTGTTCAATTTCTCACACTAGGGAGACAACATGGTGTTTACACGTGCAGGTCAGATTTATTTCATATGTGAGTATGGTCTCGAGCAGCGTCCATTTACCTTTAAAGGTCTCCAGCTGTTTTTGATGATGTGCTGTTGTATACTCCAGAATCACTCAAATGCCTTTGGCCCGGATCCTTGTTTCCTCTGGAACACCCTCACAACCCTTTCTCGAGTCTCCTTGGTCTTAACTCCGTAAACCACAGGATTCAGAGCAGGTGGGAAGAGAAGATACACATTGGCCAAAAGAATATGAATATGGAGTGGAACATGGTGGCCAAAGCAGCCTGTGAAAAAAGAGAAGAGAGCTGGTGTGTAAGGGATGAGGATGACACAGACATGGGAGCCACACGTCCCTAAAGCCTTGGACAGAGCTTCACGGGATGAGAGACGAAGGACAGCTTGAGCAATGAGGGCGTAGGACAGACGAATGCAGAACAAGTCGACCCCAATGACCAGCAGTGCCGCCCTCGGCCCACACACGCGGTTAGGCCTAGTGTCCCCACCGGCCAGTTTCACCACTGCCACGTGCTCACAGTACGTGTGTGGGATCCCATGGCTTTGACAGACGCTCAAACGCCCAATGAGGAATGGACACGGGAGCATCAGCAGGGAGCCTCGCTCCATCGCTACCACCCCGATGCGGGCAATGATGGCGTCAGAGAGGACAGTGGCGTATCGCAGTGGGTGGCAAACGGCCACGTAGCGATCAAAGGCCATGGCTAACAGCACGGTGGACTCCATCATGCAGAAGGCGTGAATGAAGAACATCTGTGCCAGGCACGTGGAAGCAGAGATATGTCCAGCTCCACACCAGCGGATGGCCAGTAGCTTGGGCACTGTCGATACGGACGCAGCCAAATCGATGGTCGAGAGCATGCATAGGAAAAGGTACACAGGCTTGTGCAGGGCAGGTTCAGTAGCAACAACAACCACGATGGTTAGGTTGCCCACAACTGTGGCTGTACCCAGGCAGCACACAGGGAGGGAGAGCCATGGGTGGAATTGTCCCGGACCCGGAATGCCCAGAAGAAAGAAGACAGACGGACTCATGTTGGTGTGATTAGGAGACTCCATGGTCTTGCTGAGAGTGCTGGACGTCTCTCGTTAGAAACCCCTGCACAAAATCACCTTGCCTGAGGAGTGTGAAGGAGACCACAGTAACTACGGAATGCTTGGCAAGCTTCATCATTATAACAGCATTCATTATAATATGAATACCCAGAGTTAAGGGAATGAGGTGGGTTAATACTTGTAAAAAGCTTTGCATTGTGCCTGATGTAACACTTGTTCAGTAAATAACTATGAGGAAAAGCTCAAATACGCATTGAAATGAACTAGGATTATCTCCTAGCTAAGGGCTCTCTGGAAAAAAAGAGATACACTCTATTTTTCTCCTCAGGAACACACTGGAATATTCACACATTTTTACGAAATATGGAAGAGATTAGGTGGAACCATTAGTGTAGAGCATAAATTACAAACATGGTTCACCGGATAAAGCTGGACATCATTTTTCATGTCCTATAATTTAGAATAGGTTCTGACTAAAGAACTTAGTGACTGTTTTTTATTTTTACTTTATTATTTTTTATTTCAATTTTATTATTTTTATTGTAATGTCACCCACCTAGCTTATACTCTTTTCATTAGTCAACAGATATTTTCACATATACCTGGTCACTTTCATCTAAAAACTTCATAAGATGTTGCACCTGACCTTACACAACTACCCCATTTCCTTCCCCCAATATATTGAAGTTAAACCTTTTTAGACTTCATTCTATTTCTGAAACAGAAAATTTCAATCTTTTCCTCTCCACTCCTCTGCCAATCCTTTATGCATATTATATCTACAGTGCTTGGTGGTTTTAAAGAGTACATATAATCAAATGCTTCCCCTCATCCCTCCATAAAGGCAAGAAGTGATTTTATGAGATTACATCCACTTGCACCTACACAGTAATGCCGAATCTCTCTTCATGGAAAAATCTCGTACTCTTATTTATTTTATGTTTGTCAGACTGTTATCTTCTGAGGGGACAAAATCCACAGTAAGGGTATGCTTAAACTAAAAGGAGTTACACAGAACATGGGGTGCAATGGTTAGGGGAAGACCCAGAAGAGTCATCATTAGGATGTAAGCTTAAAATCATTTCAGCTGGGAGTCTTCAAAATACGAATGAGAGCATCCCTGCTTGGAAGTTTGTATTCATTTATTTAAACAGGAATATTTACCACGTACATAGCCAGCCCTATTATAGAAGCTATTCATGAATCATAATGCAAAGATAATGTAAAGGTCAGTATAAAAGGACTTGGGAATGTACAGAGCTCTGACTTTGCCACAACTCTTCCTTATTTTTAATGTGTACATGGGAAAAGGAAGAAGGGATAAACTCTCCTGTCCCTTAATGGACTGGCTACTTGATGTCTGTAGCTACTAGAAGAATAAATCCAGAGAACAGGCTTGCTTATTGGGCACAAAAACGTTCTTTCATTGCCATGTAAGAGGCTTTAAGAGGCTAAACGATACCAGAAAGCCCATATATGTCGGTAAGTAAGATGAGCTATTCATCATTACTGTTGTTATTTCCACAGACGTAGGAACTAACAAAAGAAATGGAGCTTGGTGGCAGTCATAGCTCAGAGTCAGGAAACCATACAACCTTCAGAGAAGAGAGGGATCTGTGTAATTCTTAAAGAACTTGCACATGGAGGATCTCGAAGACTCTGTTCTGTGAGCTTGTACCTGGGAGTGCAGAGTGGTATACATTTAAATTTTCAGTTCATCTGAGTTGGGGATTTATTTTTCTTAAGAAGAAACAAGGTAAGATATAAGTTTTGACTGTACTTCTACTGATGTGACTTGCACTTTTTGGACCTCTGATTGCATTGAGGCAAGAGTGTACCACACCTCACACTTGCCTTCCCATATTCTTTGAGGAGACATGACATTTCAGAGGCATAGAATCTCTGAGAACACAGAAGGTGATCAATACATTTCATGTCCTATTACTCTCATCTTCATTTTAATGAGAAAATAATCTCTTATTCAATACAAAATCTTTTTTTCTTTTCTCTTTAAAATGAAAAACAAAATTTATATGTATATACAAGGATAGCTGGGATAGGTGTATTGCTGATGTCTATGCTTTATTGAAAGGAGCAGTCAATGCTTAAAATTTTCTTTTTTCCAGGCTGGGGATTTAGCTCAGTGACAGAGCGCCTGCCTGGCAAGTGCAAAGTCATGAGTTCGATTCCTGGTGCTGGAGAAAAACCAAAAAACAAAAAAAAAAAAATTTTTTTTTTCTTTTTTCTTGAGCAATTTTGCATGCTTGAATCTGGTAATCAGAATGACTGATCTGAAAACAACAATATGCAGTATAAGAACCATTGCTGAACTCCTACCATCTTGTAAGGTGAAGCTCTGTATCATTTCCAATTTTTTTAAATATCTATTACTGTCCTTGATTGTTTCATCAATCTTACATTCTTAAGTCTGGTGGACTGAGCAACTTCATTGAAGATGCCAGCATGTAATGTAGCAATGGTTCTAAATTCCTGTCATTTTGTTTTGAAGTCATGTATGGTTTTTGTGCTATTTTGATTTTGTCTTCATTGTTGTTTTGTTAGTTTTTTAAATCTTTAAAATAAAAAAATCCTACTTGTAGTTTCTTAACCAACTAGAATCTAGTCTTAGCTTTTTAATACACATAATGAGTAGTTTATATTGAGTGTACTTTGTTCCACTGTAGGGCAAACTTCTTTAATTTTTCTCCTGTAGGTCCCTTAGAATCATTTGACAATCATTAGAGATTGGAAAGGCCCTGCCCTGGCTGCTTGCAGTCAAACTAGATGCACTCAATTGTGCTTCTCATGATGAGGCTTTGTTACCTGGGTTGATGTGGGTCTCTCTTCAACACAGATGAACGATCTGGGGTTAGAATGCACCAGCAGAGAGACCCGCACTCACTGCGTTTTTTCCCACCACTTGGTCTATGTACATTTCTCTGGTGTTCAGAAAGTAGAACTGCTCACAAAGTCACCCACAGCTAGGACCCTTAACCTGACAGTTCTTCGAGGTTCCATCCTGCTCTTTAGGTCTCTTAACTGTGTGCTTTTATAACTTTTATTTTGGCCATAGAAGCTGGACTGAGCATAGATTACCATATATTACTTGACCAGATCGGTAGCTGATTTGACTGACGTAACTGAGCATTTTGTACAGGTCCTGTAGTCTTTTCTTTCTAAAGAACCTCGGCCTTTGCATAGACCAGTCCTCGAAGGGCCATGAGCTCTTATTCTGCTGTTCTCTTGTGCACTTCTTATTCCACCCAACTCCAGGTCTCTGGTCTCAGGTATTCCTTGTACAAAATATTTAAACTTTTGTCACTATTCTCACTTACACTTTAGTTTGAATCTATACCTCTGACCCAGTCACTAATCAACTCTTATTGTGACGTTAAAGCCAATAACTTCAGTAAAAGTTATCACAACTGGAGCAACTGGGAAAGGACAGGACTTTCCATGCCTTGAAACTACAGAATCCAAAAGCTGTCTGCCTGCCTCCACAAGAGCACAGCTAAACTGGGACTCCTTCCTGTACACCTTGAGACTACTGATGGAGGAGCTCAAGGTCATCAGTAAGATTGTGCTGATCCCCCCTGCTCAGTTTTTCACTGTTGATAGTTACAGTATCTTTCTCACTATGCACACAAATTTCTCCTACGTGCACAATGAGGAATTATTTCTCTGTAGTAATTTCAAGAATTCTTAGCAAATACTTAACTGGTCTTCACTGTGCCTCCCATTTCCCTGGTGTAGTTAAGATATCACTTGCTTATTCCTTGACTGGGAGCAGCTCAATTTGCTCCTCTTTCCTAGTGCCAAACCATAACTCCTGTTTTAGGAAGCTTGCAAATCAAATCTCCAAATCAAACCACATGGAGATATTGTGCAGCAAAGCTTCTTTCCCTGATATTTAAATCTCACTCTCCCTGCTTTGAAGCAAATTTCCCACAACAACTGTACTTAAAGACTTCTCCGGGAGACTACAACATGCCTTTTTCAGAACTTTTTCTAGCCCAAACTCACATGACTCCAGGAGAGCAGAAATGAAAAAGCACAGCTTTGCACTAGCAACCTTGGGAGATCGCAAGAGCATGAGTAGTCTCCAGCCACCCTCAGTCATCTGAAGATGAGACGCAGAGGCTGTTATACTGATGAAACCTAACTCGTGGCCTCTGGGGAGTTGTGTGGGTTTCACTGGGTTTAAGGCTATGCCATTTAGAGAGCATCTGTGTTTCCTAGGAAATGGAGCTCCCAAGTTTCTTTCTTCTGGTTAACCATGTCAGAATGTATGGAGGAGAGGTTTCTCTTAAACAGGCAAGGAAGTATAACTATGGTCTATTCCTTTGAAACCTTTTATCATTTTGATAAAGGTTTGGTTCTTCATTCCTCACTTTTCACTGACACTATATACCTAAAAGCACCTAGTATATTAGGGTTATTGATGCTAGAAGTGCTGTGATCATGTGTTCTGCACCTCTCTCTGTTTTCAGTGCATCTCTATCTCCCAAGGACTCCAGGGCATGCTTTCCCTTCCACTCTGGCCTATTCTGGTATGTTTTCACTTTTGGGGGACTTGACCATTGTAGACAACTCACTGCACGTGCTCCCAGACTGGCCATTGTCACATAGCTGCGGTATGGCTGGCTTTGTGAGATGAGATGCCTTGTTTTTATTTTAATATCACCTGCACAAGATATAGTAAGATGGTACCAGGACTCAGTAGGAAACTGTACACATACATAAGAGCTAGGTGGTATGATTTGTTAAAGGTAGCATTTTCTACGTTGGATAATAATTGTAAGAACTTAGATTTATGCACTAAACATTATGAAACCTGTGTCTCCTGGTGTCCTTTTCTGGAAACCCCTCCATTGTGCTTATCTTAATAAATTGTATTATCACAGAGTCCCTTTGCATTAAACACACAACTCAGTTTTCTATGAGACTCTTTCACTCTTGGTATCAGTACATCCATATACAAAGCTTTTATTTGGTATAGAGTTATCAGTAATGTAACA